AATGACGTTGCAAAATTGGTAAAATATGTAGTCATAATATCTCACAACATGGCAGTGATAGTGTTCATGTCAGCCACAGTGTTTAAGGCAGAAAGCTTTAGCTCATGATGTATCAGATGTTTCCCAGGCATTTAAGACACGCCCCACTCAGAATGATATAAACAATGACAAAAATGGAAAAAGATAAATGATTACAGTCTAGAACTGAGGAAACAGGAAAGGTGATAGGTTGAAAAGACAAATTAGACAGTTTGGAGACTTTATTTCTCACTAAAACAGGAGCACAATCATTAAATTGATCGCTTAATTGAAAAAAAGTAGTTGATAGATCACATTTAATTATGGACATTGTTGTTAATTGCAGCCCTGGTGTTCATTTGCTACAGCAACATAGCCCAGTTTGGTAACATAGCATTTTAAACCAGCAACTTAATGTTATGTGGGGACTCTAAACAAGGATTGTTATGATTTCTCATTGGATTGAATGGGATATTTTATCCTATGTTAAACTTGTCCAGCCTTGCAACAGCTGCTGTGAAAACTGTGCTGTTTGTATTTGTAGATCATAGCAGTTACTGAATAAGAAGTCTTGTGGAATTGAATCATCCAAAGGGGCACTTTAAGGGCTTAACTCAAGCAGTGCTCTTTTCCAAGAAATTACTAATAATAGTTTAGTGTTACATCATATGTCTGGTGCTGGTTTGTGTTGGTGCTGGTATGGTTTTATAGTAGCACTGTGCTCTGATGGCAGTGAGCTATTGATGTGGGTCTTTTGTTTAATGGGTGTAGGCGGGCAGTGGAAGGTTACCTGTGGTCGGCGTTGAGTAAGTCATGTGGTCATGCCGAGTAAGATGAGACTTGCAAGAGCAAGGAGAGGAAGACTGAAATGCTGCAGTGCTGCTTTTGACAAAGTATCTTCTAATCAGAAAAATACTGGAATTCCCAGGAGCCGGGTGAATTCTCCGCAAGGCTCAGCGAGCGTGGGACTCGTTTGCGGAAATATCACAGAGACGGCATCGCATTTCTTCCTCTGATAAGGAACTGTGCAAATATTATGTATGAGATCCCAAAACAAAAACATACGCGCACACACAGAGGAGTAAGATGAATGGTCATGGTGAGTCAGACTGCCCATTATTAAGAGAGGAGTATTTAATATGATGCAGCCTGCATCACATCCCCTCCAGCATCCCTCCCGTGCCATACTGAGCATGTGTATGTGTGAGGCATAGAAACACTCATCCTCTCAACTTGCTTGAGAAGAGCTGGATCTCTCCGCTCTCTCTGTTGTTCTGTTCAATACTGCTCTGAAGTGCTAGATATTTTCTCTGGCCCTCAATTTAGAGCTCCCCTCCAATTAGATTGTTAAGATTGTTTATCTGTTTTGCCACGAAAGGTCCATTCTCCTGCGGCTGTGTCACACTGCGCGAGCAGAAGTGGGCCAGAGTTCAGCCCCTTCCTGTAAACACATCAAACGGACCAGCCAGATGTTTGAAATTCCCCAGAAAAATCGCAGAAGATTCTGGAGAAATTGCTAACCAAAAGCTGGCCAACCCCAGAGCCTCGGGACCACAGGATTAAGGAGAGAAAATATTTAGCTGCAAGTGTCCAGGAAAGAAAGCGCAACAGCTCTGGTTGTGTTTTACATGTTTTGCATGTGTGGGTGGGTGTTTGTCCTACTCTGGTTTGTGTAGTGAAGATTATGTATTGTGTTTTATAGACTTTGGTCTGTAGTTCAGTGGAGTGTATATAGAGTGCATTCTCTCATAAAGTTATCTGTGTGTGTGTGGACCTGAAGGAAGGAAGGTCATTGGTCATTAATATGATAAATATGCCAGAGAGAGAGAGAGAGAGAGAGAGAGAGAGAGAGAGAGAGAGAGAGAGAGAGACAGGCAGACAGGCAGGCAGGCAAAGGAAGGAATGGCAGAAAGTAGGAGAAAGAGAGATATAGAGAGAATGGGGAATATGAAGTGAAACAAATTGAGAGAGAGAGAGTTACAGAGAGGAAGAGAGAGGGAAAGAAAGTATGGGGAAGAGAGATAGGAGAAAGAGAGACAGAGAGCAAGTGAATGATGTAGAGAGAGAAAGAAAGAGGGATAGAAAGGAGAGAGAGAAGAGAAAGTCACCTAAAAAGAAAGAGGTAGACAGGGAAAGACAGATTAGAAAGAGTGAGAGAGAGAGAGAGAGAGAGGTAGGTAGAGGAACAGAATGAGAGAAAGAGAGAGAGAGAGAGAGAGAGACAGAAAGAGAGGAAGGGAGAGAGGAGAGAGAATGAGACAGAGAGAGAGGCATAGACAGAGAGAGAGAGAGAGAGAGAGAGAGGGAGAGAGAGAAAGACAGACAGAGAAAGAGGGAGAGAGAGAAAGCAGTATCTGCTGACATTATAGCTATCACTCCCCATGGCCCATACATGAACCCAGCAGCACTTGCTGCTGTGCATTAACACAGAGCTGAACTCTATAGGCTGATCTATATTACCCCCTACTCTGTAGCACACACATACACCGCTGCATTAAATCGCTCATCCCTCACAGTGGATGGCTTTTATTAGCTGTGTCAGTGCTGTGGTGGGCACTTGGCAAAACTAATAGCCCTCAGCTCTTCTCAGAGGGGAGTCTTTAAGAGGATCCTGCCACACAGAATCTACCTGCTCTAGACTTCTGCTCTTTGCTTTGGTGGGCCAGGTTATTAGGCTGATGCCTATTAAGCTAATAGGCTTGTTTTCGCGTTAGTTTGTAGGGTTAGACTGAAATTACTTTAAATGATTTGAAATGAGTTTTCCTCTGCCTGTTTTAAATGAGTCACTCTATTTCAATGGAAACATCTGTTTTGATAAGTTGGTGCTTAGTGTGTGTGTGTGTGTGTGTGTGTCTTTGTGTCTGTGTTTTTTTTGTTACTGAGGTTAAGATTCGGGCGTGGTTTAGGGTCAGACTTAGGGTTAGCCATGAAAACTGTTTAACTATTATTTCTTGGTAGTAATTGTGTTCTTGTCTCCTGCAAAGTACATATATATATATATATATATATATATATATATATATATATATATATATATATATATATATATATATATATATGCATATATCACACCCATTGAACGCAATAATTAAGACATGCTATGGGGTTGTTTTTCAGGGGTTGGTTTAGGCCCCTTAGTTCCAGAGAAGGGAAATCTTAATGCTTTAGCATACCAAGACATTTTGGACAATCCCATGCATCCAACTTTTTGGGAACGGTTTGGGGAAGCCCCTTTTCTGTTCCAGCATGACATGGCTGGGTGAGTTTGGTGTGGAAGAACTTGACTGGCCTACACAGAGCTCTGACCTCAACCCCATCAGTGTCTGACCTCACAAATGCTCTTCTGGATGAATGGGCAAAAATTCCCACAGACACATTCAAAAATCTTGTAGAAAGCTTCCCAGAAGAGTGGAATCTGTTATAGCTGCAAATGGGGACCAACTCCATATTAATGCCAATGGATTTAGAATGACATAAAATATCCTGTAGATACAATAATTGTCCATATATATATAAGCTCATCCGAAGCGTGTAAGCATTCCTGCAAGTAGCAACAGTAGTAAGTAGAGGAGGTTTTTAACAGTTTACGAGAGGAGTGTGGATGCGTTTGTTTGCCAAGTACGATCGGCAGTTGCATAATAAATACTGTTAGTGTATTATAGATGTGTGTAATACCAGCTAAACCCAGCAACTCCCAGCTAGCCCTGAGTAACAAAACAAAGCTCCGTAAAACCATGTCTGCGATAATCCATCTTTTTAGTGTATCAAAGCTGAAGTTGGCTTCATATTCAAATTTACATTCCGTTCCACCTTACAAATGTAACTGCTGCACCACTTAGGGTGAAACGGAAATTTTGATTAAGAAGGCAGCTTCAGTCTTGTGCATCCGTGATGTTTCAGATGGACACCTCTGGACCTAACATCCTGGCTTGTGTGTGTGTGTGTGCATGAGGCCCTGGCACCAGTGCAGATGATGCGTAACCGTCTTAGTGCTGTGTCAGGTTAAGCCAAATTTTATTGTAGCCCTTGTTAAAGCAGGCATCGTCACCATGTGGCTTTACAGAAATTGTTATCTGATTTCACAGGGCTGGTTAAGGAGGCCTGGACTTTATTAAGCAGCCGTTTTATCCCTCAGCTGCACTGTGAACCCGTAGTCATCCCCTACTGCCGCCCTTACTGGAACCTCACTGTTTAATGACTGCTCCCCTAAGGAGCACTTACAGGAATAACACACAGCTCAGACATCAGCCCTGTGTGTGTGTGTGTGTGTGTGTGTGTGTGTGTGTGAAAGATCAACAGATTCAGTGCCGCTGTGTGTCACGCTTTGATAGCTCGCCATCATCTAAGTGCTAATTTGATGCTTTTAATAATAAAAAAAAACACTTTTCAGCATGAGATATGAGTCATGAATCATCATATTTGTGCGAGAGGGAGAGATCTATACATATCTCTGTCTCCAGCGCAAAAATACAGGATGTCGTGTCAGGACTCTGCACGTTGCGACAGAAATGGGACAGATGATTGTTTCCCCTTTGTAACACTGCAGGGCTGGCTAACAGAACTTGTCATAATAAAGTGGCTGAGTGTTAGGATGTGTGTGTGTGTGGGTTCTGTCAGACAGAGGTGGTGCTAATGTGTTTTATTAAGCCAGAGAGTAGAACCTGATGACTCACTCTCGCTCAAGGCAGTACGATACCTCTCTGAAACGTGGACACACACACACACACACATGTACGACACACGGGAGGGTAATTGTCTCTGAGGCAGAACAGCCTTTTTGTGTGTGTGTGTATGTGTGTGTGTATGTGTGCGTAATGCTTCCTGTTCAGTGACGGGCACATCCTTCTTCTACCCCCTTCTCATGCGTCCTCAATTGCTTATTTGTCCTTGACGTGTGGACTACCTGCGTGGACCATTCACATAATCTCTCCTTCCCTTCATCAGTACGCCATACTGACTTTGCCTCTCTTCTTTTCTTTCAGAACACCCCTCATTTCCCTCTCTTTACTATACTTGTGCATATGGAAGGTCCTTTCAGCTCAGAGTCGGAAACATCTCACATCATCAAATCGCACATAAATGTATGTAAATGTGTAACATGAACAATATGTCGTCATGGTCACGACAAAACCCCATATCTCCAACATCAGCTGTTCAAGTCGTAATTTCTCAGCTGTTGGAAATTCATGAGTTTATGAGGACCGTCCGAATGCACCATAAGCCTCTACTTACCTTTACACGCAGGTGAAGGTAAGACAAGCTAAAGATAACTCTGCCTACCTTCACAGATCTGTTATGCAATGGGAAGTAGTGTTGCACCTATACCGATACTGTATCAGTGCCAATACTGGCATTTAAATGCAGTATCGGTATCAGTTATGGAGATACTGATACCTGTGAATGATGCCATAAAGCAATTTAAAATGCTCTTGGCAGAATCTATAACGCCAGTTTTAGGTGTTAAGAACGTGCTAACAGAGCTGCTTACCTGAGCAGCTAAGCTGCTTTACGGTCACTTACAGCCTGAGTTAAAGTTATTGAGAGAGCACATTTATTGAAAGAACCGCTGGACTCTTGCTGTATTGCTTTTTGCTGTATGCCTTTAGCCTCAATTTAGCCTTAGCATAGTAGCCCGCTAGCCAGCCTGTGCATCCACTAGCCACGCCTGCGGTGCGCGTCCGTCGCTCAGCTGTATCACTCAGCAGCGGGGTCCCGCGGCCCATCGCCTCAACCAAGCCAGAAAAAACACTGAAAGTCGCTGATACTGACAGCGTGAATGGTGATATTTACTGAACTGACGCAGCGTGAGTGAACAAGACGCATGTATGAGACCAATGAATTGAGAAGTTTGGATGCGAAAGAACATTCAGCTCCGTCTTGTAGCCAGAGAAGCTGCTGTGTGCTGATGTTCAAACACCACAAGTTTATCTGTACACTGTTCAGTTCTGTTTTTAGCTGTTTTGCTCATTAAAGATATTTTACACTTGCTGAAGTTGTTTTGTTATGACTAATTATATAAGAGTAAATACTAAACATATACAGTAAATAAACAAAAATAAGTTTTCTCAAGCATCTTATAAATATAGTCCAGCAAGTAAAGGCCACCTAGCCAAGCTGAGTGTGTTATATTTGACGCAGAACATAGATTTTACCAAAATGTAATTGTATAAATATCAGGACTTATATGTGAGTTAGTATCGGGATCTGTGCTTGGTATCGGCTGATACTAAAGGATCACGTATCAGTATTGGTATCGAAAGGGAAAAAGTGGTATCGGTGCATCTCTAATGGGAGGAGGACACAGGTACTTGACCAGTGTGCAGATAGTTCTTTGTTCAGATTTGTAACCATACACTGCTGTACCGTACTGCCCAGTGGAATAATACTGTGAGTCAACCAAGAACCCAATCGAACATTAGTTGACTCATCGTCTTAGAGGGAGCGGCCCTGCTATATAGTGAATAGGGCATAGTTTGAGAGTGCCATCCTCAGTGTATATGCGTGAATAGTGCAGGCCCAGCAGAGGGGAACACGCCACCCCAGGCAGTGCCGTGCCTTCCAGAGGCCACAAATCCGCCCAGCAGTCACTCAGAGAGAGTGAAAATGGAAAGTGTTTACCCGTCCCAGTTGGGAGCCTGGAAGGCTGTGACTAGGCGCAAAAAACACCAGGAGAGAAGGAGGGTGAGCAAGTGAGCGAGTGGGGAGAGAGAGGTTACATAAACGCCAGCTCTCGTCACTCTCGCCAGAAAACAAGGCCGAACAGGAGGCGTCAAGAAAGAGGGTGATGTCATCGGTGCTAGTGATCCACGAGCAGCCATTCATCAGTGTTTGTGTGTGTCTCTGCATGTCACTTCCTGGGAGAGAATGGAGCGGGAAGTGGATTGACTGGTTGGATGGAACAGCGTCTCTATGGTGGGCCTTTCTCACACATACACTGGAAGTGTATTCACAGCACTGCTCTGCTCTGTTGTAGCTTGTTGACTGCTGGTGTCTGTCATTGCTGTGATTATATCATGAGGTTTAAAACTGAAACACTGCCCTCTTCTGTTTTCTCACAGAACTGCAGACGTTGCTGCTGCCCAGTTTTCCTGTAGGAGCTGGTAAGACCACATTCAGTGTCGTCCAATATCACATGCAGTTGTCTGCGGTTTAATCCAGCCTCTTAACTACTAGCTTTTAGCTACTAACCACTCTGCTATCTCCCTGTGTCTATGTCTGTTGCTGCAAGCCTCAGGGGATTTTAACCTGCTCTTACACGTGACCCACAAATTGATATTTTTATCACAGTTGCTGCCATCTATGTCAAATTCGGCAAAGCCATTCCGCCCCAGGGAGTTAGCAGATGACAGTTACCTGTCAGTCTGTGTAGAAGTCACGACTCTGCTTATATAAGAGCTGGTCTAGTTCTCATTCCCTCAGCCTTGGCCCTCTGTTAGCGCTTAAAGCATGGCTGATGCGAGATCCTGTCATGGTGCCCCAGATGGACGATCAGGTGGGTAATAATCACATCTGAAGGTGAACTCTACGTTCAGAACAGTTTTAGCAATGGGACAAAGCAACACTTGCAGTAGAGAAGGGTAAGATGGCGGCAGCGTGAGACAGCCTGCCTCTGCTAATGTGCTGATGAGTGTTAAAGTCGTGCGTCATGCTTCTGAACTCATTCTTGAAGTCGCAGCAGATGTTGCGTTGCTAATTTGGTTGGATTTCTTCACGTTCAGCATGCACAGCCAAATTGTCAGCACTGGGTAAAGTAAAAGTGGACGAAAGTATGTCATATAGCAAAACAGCAGTGGCATCTTAAAGTGGGGATTTTGTCTGTACTTTTATTGATACCTTTGTCGTACAGTGTCAGAAACCACACAACGTTGCTGTCATGCAAAAACTTGCTGTGTACATTTTTGTCATTTTGTTGTTTTTTTGGCATCATTTGCCAACAAAATGGTCCAGTATTACTTACAGTATTACTAAAGTTTTTTCTTCTGTAAAGTTACCATGACAATGACGATAAGTATGTCTGTTTGAGAATATTTAAAGGGCCAGTGTCCTACATTTTTTCTTTTTTTCCTCTGAGGTCTACCTGTGACATTTGTGTGGTTTTATGTACCAAAACAGCCAGTTTACATGTCTTCCCTTAGGCTATTTGTGTTGCTGTGCCTTTAAGACTGATGTTTGTAAATGAGCTCTGTTCTGACTGACCCTGTATTGTTGCCTCATACTGAAAGCAGTCCAGGCTGAAATACTGCTTATAACTTTGACATAAGTGGGAGGGGTTAAACTGCTGTAGGCTGACTAGGCAGATGGCATCACAAAAGCATTGAATTCAAAAGAAGCTGTCTTTTGCATAATTGAAATATACTGACTGGGGAGTGAATGGTACATTTTGAAACTGGGCCTGCTTGAAACAGTGTTTGCATACTACATCAAATTCTTTAATAAAAAAAAAACAAGGACTTTTTTTGGGGGTTTTACACGATATGGGCCCTTACGTGGCCAGGGCCGCTGGCGGGCTCAGTTTTATTACACACTTCTATAACCTAAGAACAGCTCACCCAGTTTGCATTGAAGTTCCTGTAGTTACTGAATAATAAGCCTTATTATGTAATAAGACTGTGATTTTAAGGGGTTAACAAGTTACTCATTTATATTAGCCCCATAGCTCTGCTGCAAAACTAAATCAAACTTTCCCTGAACTATCAGCACCACTTTAGTCACCAGCTTTGACTGACTGGCTAATGCTTTACCACCTGTGTACCTTCTGAATGCGTCCTGCAAAGTTTAGTACACGGTGACTTGCAGACTCTACTATCTAATCAGAGCTTTTTCAGCATTTGTATCATAATCCTCCAAAGTGAAGGGAAAGTTTTCTGTGCACAGATTTAGGCCTGGACTTTGGCCCAGGATTTACAAAGGATGATTCCATTTAACAGAGTGATTTAGTCATGGACAGAGCAAGCATGATTGGTTTCCTCTAGAAGTACCACAGGTAAAGGTTTCACTGCATGTCCAGTTTATCTTTCTAAAATCAGCCCACTGAATGCCACATCACGGGTCAGTCAGGTTCACTGACCGAGGTCCAGACCTGTTTAAATGATGATATTGTTTAGAGAGCTCTCCGTGACTCATGTTTTCCGACTCCTGTTAGTCGCCCTCTGAAAGTGCAGACGTCATCCTCCCACGGCAGTAACTGATGCAGGGATTCTTGTGGCCCTTTCAGAAGCTGATAAACAGCGCAACAAGGCAGCTTATTACACAAATACAAAGACACAAAGTCACCCCGTCATCGTGACATTCTCCTCAGCTGATCCGCCACGACGCCGAAAGCTGAAACCAGGGTTGGTCGACGTCAGTGCTCAAGAGGTGCGCTGCCATGGCAACCATGACGGTGACATTTGTTTTAACAGACACAACCACTTCCTGTTACAGTGTGCCACCTGCTATGTCAACCTTTCTCCTTTCCTGTTGTCTGTCATCGGCCCGGCTGGCCGTGTGAGGGGCTGGCGATACCATCAGATGAGTGAAAAAAAAAAAACTTCTCCCGGATGCTGGTTTCATATGGTGGTTTAGATGTGTTCTACCCAGTGTCTAGCACCATTTGAAATCAGTGTTCCTGAAGAAGAATGACGGCCAGTGTACAGCTGTGGAGTTGGGTGATCTTCTGTGGTAGAATGTATGGAAGAACAATGTGGATTGGATACTCCAGATTAGCCTACGTGGAGTAAAACTTTAAACAAACCTGGCTGAGTTTCCCAAAAGTGTCTTAGCACAAAGATGATTCTTAAATGGTAGATCATCATATTGAACATTGTCTCTACCAGTTAAGATGATCTTAATACCACAGTGCATTTGGGGAAACTGGGCTTTGTCCATTACTATTCAAATACCTGGGCGGCGTTTTACACGGCTAGACTTCTCAGTAGACTTGGACAACTTAAAGTGAAATTTCACTGTTTTTTCTAAATCTCTGCAAAGATAAATAGTGAAGATGTAAACAAGGTCATTCAGAGTGGTTTGATGTGAAAAACGTGGCATTGTGGGGAAACTTACAGAGTCAGAATTGTCCGCAGTGGTGGTGATGGGAACCAGACGTCTGAAGAATTTGATGTCTCCCTCTCTTTAACCTGTAAAATGAAATGGTTATGAATGTGCTGGTGTCTGAGACGTTATTTTATGATAGTTTTTGGGGACTTTTTACAGTTTTTTTTCCAATTTAGTCATATCAGATTGCACCCACGAATTTGGAACCCCCACTCACACCGTACCACCACTGCCAGGAGGACGAAGGTCAGCGCAAGCTTCCACTGAGTCATGTGAAGCCACCCACTGCATCTTTTTGAACTGTCACTAATGCAACATCATTGGACAGCTGAAAGTGCTTGGAGGAGAACACTAACCACCATTTAGCATCATGCTGGGGGGGTATATATATCTTGTTGGGTTGATAAGGTTCTATTGAAGTATTTCACATCAAACCACTCAGTAACTCAATGATACAGCATTAGACATTTTTTTTTTTAAAATATCAGTGGATTTCCCCTTTAAGCTTAAAGTAAGGACTGTCCAATAACAATGTCCCTTACTTTTTCTCATATTGGGCAGCCTTGACTTTTGGTTAACTTGACTTCATCTGGCAAAGTGAGAAAACCTCCTTTACGAAATGTCCCCAATATGCAAAGCATGAACACTTTTAAGGTAAATTCCACTGATTATTCACATTTTCTGCAAAGGGTAAAGATGTAAACAAAGTCATTCACAGTGGTGTGACATGAAATGCACTGTTCTAGAAAAACATATTGAGTCACAGTGGTGGTGATAGGAACCAGACTTCTGAAGCATTTAATGCCTCTAAAACTCCCTCACAGAAAGCTGTTACACAAAATGATCATGTAAATGCTGCCTGATGCCCGAGACATTGTTTTATGATGAGTTTTGCTCTAAGATTTTGGTTTTAAATCTATTTTTCAAAATCCATTTATGGTGGAGAGGTACATGCAGGGTGTTGTATGGCAAAATAGTCCCCAAACAAAACTTCTTGTTCTAGGTTTACCACTATTTTACCATTATCAACGTTACATATATAAACTCAGTGGTTGTTTTGGATATTAAATAAAATGATTATATTTGTGTTCCTGGTTCCTATCACCACCACTGGAAAGAAATCAGTAAGTTTCTCTATAATGAACCACTTCACATTAAAACACTCAATGAGGTTTATATCTCAATGGTTAAATTATGCAACATTTTTGGAATTCTCCTTTAACACAGTGAGGTATACCTAAAAACATCTACCTAAGTCATCAAAGTGATTAGATTAAGAACTAATGCAAACATGATGTCAATAATGTTGTCTTTTGTGTGGCTGATGACCAAATCCGTGTTTCCTCCTGAACCTTGCTGTGTGGATGAGTCAGGAGAGCACTCTATCACTTGCTCTCTCTCTCACCCAGCCTCTCTCGCCAGCACTCCCTCCCCACCAAAGGATGACTGATTTCCTCTGGTGCTTAGAGTCAGTCCTGTCTTCTAGCACCATTTGAAATCGGTTATAATGACTGGGGATCAATTCTTCACTCTCCCACTGAATTCAATGAACCGGCGCTGCCCTTTTCTTGTGAACTGGTTAATCTGATCTACACATCCTGGCTCAGTCATGTTTAGACTTGCTCAAACCTTCCACCCATGCCGGAGTTATGTGTGAATAAAATATCTTTTCATCCAGATTTGGTGTCTTATATATGAGAGAATTAATCCATTTAAGCCACACTCGGATGTTCCAGAGACTTTACACAGGAGTCTACTCTCACATCTCTCTTGAACTTCTGCCATCAGTTGTAATTATTGCAGCCCCCTGGCTGCCCTGCATGAACTCCTAACCTGTTTGACTGTATTTTACCACTGACTTGTCCCATTGATCTTTCCTCTCTATCTGGGTGCTTCTATCACTATACTATGAAGTTCAATACAAACTAAATTGGTTTTGATCCCAACTTTGATCCTGAACATCCGTCTTACAACGTTTTATTTCTAATTTAACACACTTCCTTGTAATGTTCACATGTTTCTGACCTCTTTGATCAGGTGTGTAAGATTAGGGTTGGAACTAAAC